GAGAAGCAGAGCAAAATTAGCATGACCATTGTCTCTACTCTTTCTTTTCTGGGCCCACTGGAACTGCAACTTCTACTAGATCACATCTAGATCCTAAAAAGAGCCAAGGGGAGATCCCCTGTCTTTCCAAGAACTTGAGGTATTTCCATGAATAGGCATCTTGTGGGTCAGGTATATGGGAATTCAGCACATTCCTACTGAAATGCAGTCATTCATGGCCACCATGACCCCCTCCCCCCATAGTTCTAAGAGTATCTGGCAATAAGAGTAGGATGTGATTCAGCCCAGCAGGTGTGACTCAGTTGGTTAGAGCATCGTCCCATACAGCAAAAGGTGGTGGGTTTGATTTCCAATGGGGCACAAACCCAAGTTGCAGGTTTAATCTCTAGTTGGAATGCATGCAGGAGGCAACCAATTGATGTTTCTCTTTCACAATGATGTTTCTCTCTCTCTAAAAATCAGTAAATTAAAAAAAACTGATTGCTCTTTTAAAAAGGCACAAAGACTAGGGTGTGATTTGAGAAGCTGTGCAAAGTACAGTATACTCCAACATGTAAACATTTCAAGATATCTCTCTTTTTATATTCCACTGAAATCCATACTAGAGATATTTTTTCTTGGATTTTATCATTACATTGTCCTCAGTGATCTAGTATAAAATATGAATACCCTAGAGGGGGAGTCACTTGAAGCAATAATTAAGCCATGCTGCTTCTATATAAAGTAATTTGGTGCTTGCCTTTTTCTGTGGCTTAAAAGGATACCGTGGCACCACAACAGGAATGTACTTAACATTATTAATCTGTACTCTTTTGCAAATGGCTAAGATAGTAAATTTTACATTGTGTATATTTAACCACAATTTAAGAACATATATATCTGAGATATCCCCCCTGTATGCTCGGACTGCACTCTTTTCAGAAAAAGAATGTCACCAAGACCCTGATCTCCTTCAAATCACAACTGATGGGGTTATCAGGTCCCATGTTCTGAGATTTTGCACAGAAAGAAAAGTTGCATTAATCACATTATTTGTCTTCCTGGACAGGCTGTAGGTTGCCAATTAACAAAAGAGGCTGGAAAGTAACCTCCTATTCAACTTCTCCCAAAGCCATTTTGATGAGTGGTTCAAGTTCACTTGGATTGACTGTCGACCAGTCTAACCTATTCACCCTTGGTGGTCCTCAGTCATGCTCTTTTACCTTCACAGAACATTCTACATTGCTCTTCCCCCTACCTCCCTCCTAAAGCCCACAGCCCATTATTCTTTCCATTCATTCTCTTCTCTTATGCCTTCTCTCACTCACTGATCTGTCTTCAAACTCTAGACTCCAATCCTGGTGGAGCCCTGAAAATACTGTATTATTGTCATAATTTGTTAAAGGCACTGTGAGCACAAAGGTAAAGGGGAGTAAGGATGGTGAGACCGCTACACACAGATTCCTGGTCATCCATGATTCTGAGATTGGAGAAATTAGGCTCAGAAATCTGGGGAATAGTAGCTTAGTCTCTGCAATCCTCTTTTTAAGCAATGAGAGTAAACTTTACATAATGAAGAATTTTGTCTTCCCCCTGCCCCCACACAACTTCCCGAAGAAGGAAAATGAGCATATAAACTAAACACCTTATGCTTCTATAGCTGCTCTACTTCCTCTACCCCTTTCCCATATGTTATCTCACTTCATCCTCAAAGCCCCACCACTATGGAGATGGACCCAGAGAGTGTAAGCAGTTCATGCTGAGAACAAATCTCTTAATTAGCGAAGCTAATGCTGGACTCCAGTTCTCCTGATTCTGGTCCTGTTCTCTCTCCAACACCACAGCACATTTGCTTTAGCATTCAGGCAAGATTCCTTGGAAAGTATTTATTTGTTGATACAAATCATTTGCAGATCTTTGGTTTCTAAAAGAGATGGCAAATTGCAACAAAGATGAAATGTAAACAAATGAAAGACCCTATTTATATCCCACTAGAAAATTGAATCAACAACACAGAATTATGTCTGCAATGGAAGAAAAGCTTCATTTATTTTTGCACTGTCTATGAGCACTTCCAGACATTGAAAATGAAAACATGTTTAGTTTGACTTTATTGCAAGCCTCAAGTTACAAGTAAAGGATCATGGGTCTTCTTCATTATTATTATGGAGCAAAGTTCTGAACCTTAAGTGAAACAGGATCTGCTTACACAGAAGAGAGAAATAGACTGCTGGTGGGTCAAAAAAAAGAATATTCTAATTTATTAAAATCACATTAAGGAGAAGGCTAACATTTTCCCAATTTGTATGGTCAGCTCACGCCATTCAGGAATACATTATCAAAACTGGGGATTGGCCAAACATCTAGTTTTTTTTTTCCTTCTCTGTCTTTTACTGAGCACAATATGATCACTTCTGTGTTGTCAACACCCCCACTGGGTGGTAGAGTGTCCAGATGTCTAGGAAACTTCATCATCTGGGACACAGTTACAACCCTGAGAGCATTTGAAGAAAGTGGTTGGCAGTAAAGGAAATCACTCTCCCCAGGCTTGCTCACTTTTTTTCACTGGGAGAGTTCTGTTGCTACTCTTGCTACATGTTCTTACTGGGCAATCTAATCATAATAAAAAGCTTAAAATATTTTTAAAAACAGGAATATTTTTTTGCTGTGGGATTTGTTTTTCACAGCTGACACATTAATGTTTATTATAGGCATTGTCTGAACTTCTCCCAGTTTCCTTCCTCTTTCCTTCCTTCATTTATTTATGGCAATATATTTTTAAATGTCTATGAAAAATTGTTAAAATGTTTACAAAGTTTCAACACCTAAATCGGTGATTATATTTCATTAATAAAACAATTTTGTGTCCCCAATTATGCCAGATAAGTGAGTGACATTGTTGTACTGAAATACAGACACTGTTGTAATCATCTGTCCCCCGTTATGCCAGATAAATGAGGGGAACTGTTGTGCTTGAAATACATTGCTGGGGAATAACCTCCCAGAATGCATCTGGCATGGCTCAATATCTGTCCCCTCCCTCCACACATTGCACTCAGGCCTTCCTGCCTGGCCTGGAGATGGTCTCACAACATCCATCTCTTTCTGTCATTATCTGGACTGCTACCAATCCCTGTCCCCCACCTGCAAGGACCAGGGACTATCTTAATGCTGAAACTAGGACTGGAGAGGAGTCAATGGAGCAAGGCCAGTGTATCTTCAAGGAGTCAACCCTGGGAATGAAAGTAAGTTAATTTAATTTTATTAATAGCTCCAGTAAAGTACCAGATGGGCTACAAGGTCAAAATCAATGCCTTGGATGAGGTTTTTGTATTATCAATGTATTTAAGTTATCCATAATCTCTTTGCCCTGCTATTATTGAGAAACACTGAGCCAGCTTGCTAAAATTCTGCATTTTTGATGAAGCCCAAAGAGCTATCATCAGGTATAAGCATTTAAGCCCTAAGCAAGCAAGTTTCTGATGACCTTCTAGAGACAAAGATAATAAATCAATAAACATACACCTCTAGCTTTACCCATCATTGGTTAAGATTACTTAGTTCAAGCATCTTCCCTCTGACTTAAGATTTACACTACTTGGTGGCTTTTTCTATTTCAATAAGCCAATTGTTTGAGAGAGTTACAAAAGTGCCTTCTCAAAATTAACCATGATAATAGTTATGAGAAGTATGATAGGTTTTTTTTTTAGTGTATCCTCAAAAACTGCATTTGAAAGTGCTTCAGAATTAAGGAAAAGGGAGAAGAGAAATAATAAAATTGCTCTAACTTTTGAAACACTTGAAAGATAACCCATTTAGACATATATACCTTTTCCTCACCCACAATCACATCTATCCTATTAGAACTGGATATGTAGATATAAATATCACCACAATCCAACCCCCAAATCTAAACATTATTTCCAAAACAAACAAACAAACAAAAAATCCTCCTCTAAATAGTACTGCGTCTTAAGGCTGGGATCTTTGAGAGAAGGGTCTTAGGTTATTGTTTAAACAACCTTTATTACCTGCTTCTGACATTCTCCAGGTTACAGAGCAGGAGACATCTGAGCCTTGGGTTCCATGGATGAAGCAGAGAGCTTCCATAACAACTGAATCAATAGAGGAGAAGCATTTGGAGGTATTGGGGTGATGCACCCAGCAATGATTACTCACAGCAGAAGATAGATGGCAACATTACTAAAAATCAGGCAAGTTATCTTTGGGGTGACAAGTAGGTGCAAGAAAACCATACAATTGGATCATAGGTCTTCCCATCCCCTTTGTACCCCTCCCTGCCTTCAGCCCCCATTATGTCCATTCTATCCCCCAGACTGGTCCTAATGTCCTTGTAGCTCCCTGCTGAAAGAGGAGGGGAGGGAAATGATATTTAAGATCTCCTCATTTTCTTTATCTCTGTCTCTAAAACAACAGGAACCTGGAGCTGCTGCAGCCAGCCTTGCAGTGATGGCAAGTCCATTGGCTCTGCAGAGTGAGCAGTCCCTGGCAGCCCTTGGAGCAGCTGCCAGTTAGACGGCCCAGAGTTCTGATAGACTTCATTGCTTTAGTTCAGTGCCAAGTGTTGGACATGTTGGTTTCAGTTTCCAGATGGCTTGAGCATGGGTTTTCTGAAGACAAAACAGCAGAGGCAGTTTAATGCATTTGGATGTGCAGGGTGAGGATGGAGGCATGGGGGAGAGGAGAGAGAAGAGGGAGAAACTGGCCTGAAGTGGGTGGTGCTTCTTCCAGACAAGGTCTCCTGGCCTCTCATCACTGTCTGGGCCTCAGGTGAGGCGAACCCTGGAAGAGGAGAAAAAGAAAGGCAGGGACTGCGCCCAGGGATAAGAAAGATGACAAAGGCCAGAGCAGCTGCAGCTGTGCCCTGGGCAAGGGCGGGCAGCATGGCCGGGGGGGGGGGGGGGGGGGGGGGGGGGGGGGGGGGGCAAGCTGACGGCAGCCCTCAGGCGGCGGGCAGGCGGCGAACTGGTGGCAGTCTCAGCGTCCGCGGTGGCCAGGGCTCACTGGTGTTCCGGGCAGGCCTGGGACGTCTCATCCTTGGCCTCGAGGAGCTTGCGGGAGCGGGTGTAGGCCAGGATGAGGCCTCCAGCCAGGCAGGCGTAGAAGATCATAATAAGCAGAATATAGAGATAGGCGTCATTGCCTTTGGCGCTGGTCACCTCGCGGCCAAGGAAGGATTCAGGCACGAACCCCATGCCCATATTGGAGCCGGGGCCGGGCTGGTGCCCAGACCACTGGCGTTGCCCCGGTAATGCAACTCCAGCAGCAGGCGAATCAGGAGGGTTCGCAGCCACTGGCTCTCAGTGAAGCTCCTGGCTGTCAGGGAGTGACACCGCGGCTCCAGAACGCTGCTGACCTTTCACCCTGAACAAGGGTGAGCAAGCAAGAGATTGCTACGGAACCCAGCTCTCCTGTGGGCTACGCAGTGGCTAGGGGCGCCTGCCACCGGGCCTCCTTATCCCCAACCCACGCCCCTCCTCCCCTTCCTCACCACGCCCCCTGCGTCTCAGGCAGTCTCTTTCCACGCTCTGGCTGTCTGGCCGCTCAGGGGAAAGGGGACAGCTGGTAGGGGGAAGAGAAAGGGACCGGGAACGGGGCGGGGGGGGGGGGGACTCGAAATGCGCGAGGGCCCAGGCAGCACAGGCAGTCAGGGCAGCTTGCTGGGGCCAAGCCTGTACCCTGGGTTTCGGAAAAGAATTCCTTTCAAGTTCTGACACCTGCCCTGCAGGCCCAGCTTTGCCCCAGATACAGCGTCTGGCCCCCAAAAGCAGGCCCTACCCCCGAGGTTCCTTCAATTTTTCAGTAAAGCATTAGCCGGGACTCTTGGTCGTCATCTTATGGCAATTACAGTCATAGACAAGGACCCTGGCCCAATTTGTGTGTGTGTGTGTGTGTGTGTGTATTCCAATAAAACTTTATTGGTGGACATGAACATTATTTAAATTAATTTATTTATTTTTGTTATAGATGTTTCTCCCCCCCCCCCCCAGATTCCCCGCCCTGTCCCCAGCTTTGTTGTCCATTTCCATTGTTCATGCATACATGCGTGTAAGTTCTGTGGTTTATATCTCCCCCACCACCCCCTCTTCTAAGGGTTGTCAGTCTGTACCCCACTTCCATGTCTCTGGGACTACCCCATTCCTCAGACTTTTATGTTCATTATATTCCACAAATAAGTGAGATCATATGATACTTATCTTTCTCTGTTTGGCTTGTTTTGCATAGGATAATACTTTCCAGGTCCCTCCATGTCATCTCAAAAGATGAGTGCTTTCTTTCTTACAGCTGCATAGTACTCCATTGTATAAATGTACCACTGCTTTTTTATCCATTCGTCTACTGATGGACATTTGGGCTGTTTCCAGATCTTAGCTATTGTAAATAGTGCTGCTATAAACATGGGGGTACATATATTCTTTCTCATTGGTGTTTCAGGCTTCTTAGGGTATATTCCTAGAAGTGAGAACATTGGGTCAAATGGCAGTTCCATTTGTAATTTTTTGAGGTAACACCATATTGTTTTCCATAGTGGCTGCACCAGTCTGCATTCCCACCAGCAGTGTACTAGAGTCCCTTTTTCTCCACACCCTGGCCAACACTTGTTGTTTGATGATTTGTTGATCCTGGTCCAATTTTTTTAACCTTCATTCCTTCCCCGAGATGATGAGAGCATCTTATTCAGATGGTCAGACCAAAATCAATGATGAAATGGTTAGGCACTTGCAAGAAAACCAACGCAAATTAGCATTCCCTGGACTTCCAATAAGGTTTCTGATAAAGTACCAGCCTCCTTGGAAGTACCCTTGCTCTGATCTCCTGCCATATTTTTAGAGGTGCCTACACATCTTAGCATGGGAATGCATCATCCATCATGTGACCATGTTTTAACAAGGTAAGCCATCTTCCCAGAAAGGAAATCAAGTTCTTCTATTAAAAGGATTAGGGACATTAAAACAGCCCTTTGACTCAAGATGTCTCTGGGTCTGAAAAGTGCCAGTTCTAAAAAATATACTCACCTCCCCCATCCCCATTCAGTTAGGCCAGCACACACTTCTGTCTAGGCCCTGCTGGCTCAAAGGTTTGCTTTATAGTGAGTACGAAGGGGAAAAAAAAACAAAAAAAAACAAACAAACAAACAAAAAAACGAGGTGGTTCTGGTCAGATCTGGTTGTAAGTGGTTACCAAGTAAGACTAGAAAAAAATGAAAGGAAAGTATACACCCCTATGCACACCTTGAAAATCAAGCTAACCTGTTCCAGACTGTGCAGTCCAGGGGCCATTCAATCTGCAGGTGCCATGGTTTAAAAAGGAAGGTTTTCTGGTGCCTCTTCTTACCATCCTCTCAGGGACTACAGTCTTCAGTTGTTTGGGGTGTATGGTTGGCACAAAGTATATCCAGGGTCTCAAACAGAGCCTTCTCAGAGACATTCCACATAACCCTGACCACTGGCTCCCTCCTAATCACCTTGCCTCAATGTCCTCACTTCAGAAGATCTCAGGGAAGAAATGTTAAAGTGACTTGGCATGACAGATGCCAGAGGGCACAGACAGGAAATTCTCAAAGCAGTACCAACCTAGGGACAGGATTGTAAAGCTAAAAGACTCCTGTTTATGTGTTAAAACATGCCCAGAAATCTCTGGGGATTATTTGGTTGGGGTGTGGAAGAAGAAGCCCCTTCACTGTAGCATAAAAATAATCAAACTTGTATTATACTTTCAACAGTTTATGAACTACTGGGATTATTCTTGTTTTCAGAAGAGGAAACAAATTCAAGTAGTTAAGTAGCTGAACTAGAATGGTAAAGTTTGACCTTGTTCTTTTCAGTTCTAACACATTAATCTTGACACGTGGGTGGTATCCCTGAACTGCCTCTTTCTTCCTTGGAACCTTCTAGAGTTTGGAACTTTCTGCCAAAACTGCTCTCTGTAAGTAAGTTCAGTAACAATCTCCTGGCCAAATTCAAAGGTCTCTGCTCAGTTTGAATGCTTGACCCTCAAGGATGAATTTGATACCATCAAACCACCTACTCCTTCCTGTAACTGTACTTTCCTTGGCTCTCATGGCATTGCATTCTCAATTTTCTCTTCTTATTTCTTACCCATCATTCTCTGTCTCCTCTATGGGCTCCTTTTCTTTCCTCCTCTAATTAACTGTTGGAATCCCCAAAGACTCAGTCCTCAGCTATTCTCTCTTAACATCCATTTCCTTGGAAAGTGTCTCCTTACATGGTTTCCACTACCACCTGGCATATATTTAGGCAAATTTGAATTTCTAGCTCTGATTCTTCCTTGGTAACATCTCTCAGATCCATGTGCTCCTTCCTTTCTGGTCTTATTGCTACAAGCTTAATCCAAGCTTTCATTACCTCAGGTCAAATATACAAACTGAGAGTCTACTGGCAGATCTCCCTGCCTATAACACAATCCACCCTTTTATGGCTAAAATAACTCTCCAACACCACTTCCATCAATTCACCCATTGTTCATAAACCCAGAGTTGCTCTGCATTGCTTCTTGAGTGGAATCCCACCTTCTTTGGTGGGCCTTAAGTCCTCACCACCAATAGACAGCATCTCCTCACGTTTGCACTTGTAAAATAGCATATTCCTGGAGTTACTTGCCAATACTCTTTGTCTTTTGTCTTCTTCAAATTTCACTGACTGAAGGAAGCCTTGCTTGAAACCTTTGTTTGTGGTCTCAGAGTCTTTACAACTCAGACAGCAGCATTCAATGCAGAAAATTTGGAAACTACAGAAAAAAAACAAGAAAAAAATTACCAATACTGCACCCATGTGCTGCATGCATACAACACATACACACACACAGCTCACACATGATTTTATAGCCTATTTTTTTCACTTAATGACATATTATGAAAATTTTTCTATGTCAATTTTTATATTTTATAACATCATTGTATTATCTATACAGTATTCCAGATTATGGATTTACTATTATATATTTAAATCACCTCTTATTGTGAGACTTTTTTGTTATTTCTGAGATCTTGCTATAAAAATAATGTTTTAATGAACACATACAAGATTAACTCTAATTCCAATAAAAGACATAATTACCAGAGCAAAAAGCACATTACTAATTCTCAGAAGACTGGCATCGAGAGTAGAAGATGTGTAGAAGGGGGTGGAAATAGGACTGTAGAATAGTTATAAAATTTAAAAATGCCCAACAATCAGGAAAAAAACAACAGGTATGTGTAGGAGGTATTCTGGCTTTCTTTTCATGCAAGGGGCTGCTGGGTGTCCCTTCAACTCCCAGTTCCAGGCCAGTCCTGAATGGCTGAAATGCAAACCCCTTATCTCCACCACACTTAATGTAACTGCAAATTCATCAGACAAGGATTTAGTCTGCTTCCTCCCTAATTTTCTATCCCCCTTCTACACCTGCCCCATACCTGTTGAATAATCATCTTTTTACCCATCTTCAGAACTCATTTATTTCCTGAATGGTAATCAAGTATATTGACAAAGGGAAGTAATTTATAATAATGTATTTAGATTTTAAAAATGTCTTGGAAAAAGTTCTGTTGCATGCCAAGGTTGTTTCTAAAGTACAAATGAGGCACCACAGACTAGGAAATGCTTTCACCATTCCTTGAGACTGTGAGTGCTTCCTGCCAATAGTGTAGCTCCATGGAAGTTGGTTAAAATAAAGAAAGAAAGAAAAAAAAGAGGAGAAGATTTCATGGGACAGTTCCTGAATCCAACTGAGGCTTCTCAGTTATTCTATGGGAATATGTGTGGCATTTTAGGGGCCTGGGGTTTAGTTAAGATCACAATAGCTGGGGGTTAGAATGTCCTCAGGGGCTTCAAGCACCTACCAAAGAGACTTCTTGGGGGTCTTGGTGGACTTGTGATCAGGTCACCCCATATCCAGGCCATATACTGAAGCATCAAATATGGTCTCTGAACTCATTTATCAAATACTTAGCATGTGCTAGGCATGTTACATACATTATAGTAATTAACATTACGACAGCCCTATGAGGTGGGAAGTGTTGGTATAAAAATATCTAACAGCAGTATGTCTTGCACATGGAACAGTCAGAATGGATTGACAATCAGAATAGATGCTGGCTATAACCAGTATAGCCTTCTAGAGCCACACCATCTTGGGGCAAAGAAGTAGGAGAGTGGTACAGACTAAATAGCTTCCTATTTCCCAGAAGATGAATCTAAGATCTTATCTCCTTGAGCTTACAAGCTCTCCTGGGTCATTCGGAACCTCCCTCCTCCCTGTGGATGTTTCCACCTGTTCCCTATGCTCATTGTAGGTAAGTGAAAAGCTCCCTTGCCTGGAAACCCTCTAAAGCAGTGGTTCTCAATCTTCCTAATGCCGCGACCCTTTGATACAGTTACTCATATTGTGGTGGCCCCAACCATAAAATTATTTTTGTTAATACTTCATAACTGTAGTTAAGCTACTGTTATGCCTTAGGCGACACCTGTGAAAGGGTCGTTCGACCTCCAAAGCAGTCACGACTCATAGGTTGAGAAGCGCTGCCTAAAGTACTAATATGTATTACAGCCACCCCTTTCTCCCAGCAGTTTCTTTTTTATTTTATTTTATTTTTGTTCTTTTTATCTTTATTGTTTTTTAATTTAATTAATTTATTTTTGTTACAGATGTTTCTCCCTTTTCCCCTCCTGATTTTCCCCTCCCACTCCCTCCTCGCCCTGACCCCGGCTTTGTTGTCCATGTCCATTGTTCATGCACACATGCATATAAGTTCTGTGGTTTATCTCTCCCCCACCAACCCCTCTTCTGGAGATTGTCAGTCTGTACCTCACTTCCGCGTCTCTGGGACTGCCCTATTCCTCAGACTGTTATGTTCATTATATTCCACAAATAAGTGAGATCATATGATGCTTGTCTTTCTCTGTTTGGCTAGTTTCACTTAGAATAATACTTTCCAGGTCTCTCCAAGTCATCCCAAAGGATAAGAGATCTTTCTTTCTTACAGCTGCATAGTATTCCATTGTGTAAATGTACCACAGCTTTTTTATCCATTTGTCTACTGATGGACATTTGGGCTGTTTCCAGATCTTAGCTATTATAAATAGTGCTGCTACAAACATGGGGTACATATATTCTTTCTGATTGGTGTTTCAGGCTTCTCAGGGTATATTCCTAGAAGTGGGATCACTGGGTCAAATGGCAGTTCAATTTTTAATATTTTGAGGTAACACCATATTGTTTTTTATAGTGGCTGCACCAGTCTGAATTCTTACCAGCAGTGTAGGAGAGTCCCCTTTTCTGCACACCCTCGCCAACACTTGTTGTTTGCTTCTTTTTATCTTTATTGTTGAATATATTACAGATGTTCCTCATTTTTACCCCATTGACCCCCTCCTCTCCATTCCCGCCCCCCTCCTGCCTTTTCCCACACTGTTGTCTGTGTCCATTGGTTTTGCATATATGCATATAAGTTCTTTGGTTTATTTCTTCCCACTCCCCAAACCCCCTCCTCTTTGAGGTTTGTCAGTCTAGCAACCAATTTGTGCTTCTTAATCCCTTTACCTTTTTCCCCCATTCCCCCATTCTCCCTCCCATCTGGCAACCAACAAAATGTTCTCTGTATCTATGAGAATGTTTCTGTTCTGCTTGTTCATTTTGTTTGTAGATTCCATTGTTGATAGCTATGTATTCATTGCCATTTTGTTTATTCATATTTTTTATCTTTTTATTCAAGAAGACCCTTCAGCATTTCATATAATAATGGTTTGGTGGTGATGGACTCCTTTAGCTTTTCCTTGTCTGGGAAACTCTTCATATGGCCATCAATTCTAAATGGCAGCTTTGCAGGATAGAGTAATCTTGGTTGTCTGGGAAACTCTTCATATGGCCATTGATTCTAAATGACAGCTTTGCTGGATAGAGTAATCTTGGTTGCAGGTTCTTGCTTTTTATCACTCTGAATATTTCTTGCCACTCCCTTCTGGCCTGCAAAATTTCTTTTGAGAAATCAGTTGAGAGTCTAATGGGAACTCCCTTGTAGGTAACTAACTGCTTTTCTCTTGTTGCTTTTAAGATTCTTTGTCTTGAACCTTTTGCATTTTGTTGATGATGTGTCTTGCTGTGGACCTCTTGGGGTTCATCTTGTTTGGGACTCTCTGTGCTTCTGGGACGTGTATGTCTGTTTCCTTCACCAAGTTAGGGAAGTTTTCTGCCATTATTGTTTCAAATAGGTTTTCGATTTCTTGTTCTCTCTCTTTTCCTTCTGGCACCCCCAAGATGCGAATGTTGGCATGCTTGAAGTTTTCCCAGAGGCTCCTTACACTATCCTCATTTTTTTTGGATTCTTTTTTCTTTTTGCTGTTCTGATTGGGTATTTCTTGCTTCCTTATATTCCAAGTCTATGGTTTGCTTCTTGGCTTTACCTATTCTACTATTGAATCTGTGTAAATTATTCTTTATTTCAGTTAGTGCCTCCTTCATTTTTGACTGTGCATCCTTCATTTCTGACTGGTCCTTTTTAATGCTCTTGAGGCCCTCACTAAGTTCACTGAGGTTCTCACTAAGTTCATTGAGCATCCTCATAAGCAGTATTTTGAACTCAGCATCTGTTAGGTTGCTTATCTCCATTTTATTTAGTTCTTTCCCTGGGGTTTTGTTCTGTTCTTTCATTTGGGACCTGTTTCTTTGTCTCCTCATTTTGGCTGCCTCCCTGTGTTTGTTTCTATGTATTACTTAATGAGAGGTGTGGGGCTAGCTGAGGGCAGATGCTGCTTGTTTGAAAGAATTTAGGAAAACCTGAAGCAGGATCCAAGACTGGCCAATCCTACAGTTAACCAACTGGCACCAGCTTGGGTGGGCCTGAAAGTTGGGTGGAAATCACCAGGCGGGGAAAATAGTATGAGCCAGGTTGCTGGGGTCCCAGATATGGCGGCTGTCTGCCGCCCCAGGGAAGGGCTCACAAAAAGGAACAAAGGCCTCTGACAGCATGTCTATCTCAGAGAAAGCCTTCTTTCCAGCCCGTGCTCCAATGCCAAACAGCTCAGTTCTTCCCTGTATGTCTCTGGCGCCCCTCGAGCTGCCTCCCCTCCGACTTAGAGTGAGCAAGTCCGAGTAAATCCATGCGCAGGCCCTTTCAGAGGAGCTGCCTGGGGCTCCAGCCACCTCAGCCTCCCTGAGCCTCAGTTCCTGGTGGTTTTTCCAGCCAGAAGTTATGGGGACTTCTCTTCCTGACACTGGAACCCTGAGCTGGGTGCCTGCTGTGAGACGGGGACCCCTCAGTCCTCAGGGAGAACTTTCCCAGCCGAGGTATCCTTCTAATTTTTATCCGCCAGGTGTAGAACCAGCCTGTCACGCCTCCGCCCCTCCTACCAGTCTCGATCCAGCTGCTTCTTTAATTCTGTAGTTGTAGGACTTCCATTCAGCTTTTTTTCAGGTGGTTTTGAATGATCGTTGTTCTGTAGTTTAGTTGTAACTTGAATGTGGTTGTGGGAAGACATGATACCGTGTTTACCTATGCTCCATCCTGACCCGAAGTCTCCCAGCAGTTTCTTAAGGACATTACTTGTTGGCTAAAAATTCTTAAATGGGCAAGTCAAATTATCACCTTAGTGTGGCTTTTGAGACACTCTGCTCTCACTTGAAGATACCTTTCAATCATATTTGCGGCAATAACTACACAGCATGTCTTCAATGCCAGACATTTTTTTTTTTACAAATTAATGTTTTTATTGAGATATTATTGACATATAACACTATGTAAGTTTGAGGTGTGTGTGTTGATTTGATACATTTATATATTGCAATATGATTATCACCATAGCATTAGCTAATACCTCTATCATGTCACATAATTATCATTTCTTTTTGTAGTGAGAACAATTAAGATACTTTCAACTGGATGAAATTTCACTTTCCTTATCAACCCTACAATATAATAGTGATACGTGTGCTTGTCAGATGGTCCTTACAATCCCTTTGAATGCAAGTGCTATATTCTTTATCTTTATATCCTTCACCTAGTTTGGCACATTGACTGGCATACAGTGAGTGCTCAGGAAATATTTACCTAGATTTTAGGTCTGCCTTCCTCAAAAGCCTTTCAAGTTTGATAATTACTTGTTCTATGCAAGATGTAGAACTTTGTGGCTATATTTTTTCAAAAAAATTTATTATGCAAAATTTCAAACGCAGAGTTGAGAGAATTTTACAGTGGACACCTTGTTACTTACTAGATAGAGTCTACCGCTCATGTTTTCCTGTACTGGCCTTATCCATCCCTCACCTATTCATCTCTTGATCCATCTATCCATCGTCTTTTTTTTTTGAAGTTGCAGACCTCAGTACACTTCACCCCTACTTTCCACACATCTATTCTTAACTATAGTTCAGTATTTGCTTTTTACTCTTTGTAAGGTAGCCAGGTGCCGCCGGTGGGAGGTGGGAAGAAACCGAAGAGCCAAACAGCCGAATAAGCAGAAATCGGGCTTTATTGGGTACACTCCAGGCGGGTTCACAGACTCCGGGGGTCGAGTCCGAGAAGCCGCGCCCGATGCTGGGGTTTGTGATTTTTATATCTGCACCTGTGGCAGCGGGAACTTGTTGTTAGGGTTAGGTCCTGAGGGGCTACGCATGGGGGCCCCTGGAATGTGAGTCTATTGTCCCGGGGCAAACAGTTCCTGGACTAGGACAGGAGAATGGGACAGGAGTTGATCTATGAGTTCGGGGCAAACAGTTCCTGAAACAGGGTGGGAGTCTAGGTTGGGTAAGCGAGGTAATGGCTGAGCAGTTTGCCTGGTGCCAGTTCCCAGGCTCTCGGACATTCCCGACTCTGTGATATAGGGATAGGGGCCAGGTCGTCTTTCTGACTACTTCCTGCTGGACGGGGGCGGCGTCCGGGGGGGGGTGCCGAGTCGGTGTGGTCCGAGTTCGGGGGACTGGTCAAGGGCTGGTAATGTGGTAGCATCATTTGGTGGACCTCTATTGTCCATGTGAGCTGTGCGAATGGGTCCTGGATGAAGCGGAGAAAACAGGGGGCAATTAGCAGTATAATTATTATGATGATGGTTGGGCCGAGGAGGGGGAGGAGTAAGGAGTACATGGAGGAATTCCACCAGGAGGAGGTGTCTACTGAGAACTTTTGTTTTTTTAGTTCTGAACTTAGCTGGTGAAGGGTTTTAATGCGGGTTTCTACCAAACCTGATTCGTTGATATAATAGCAACATTATTTCCCAAGAAAGAGACAGGTTCTTCCGTGTTCCGC